CGGTATATTCATTCATTCATTCATTCATTCATTCATTCATTCATTCATACAGGCAGGTACTGGCCAATCAACCAGACATCATGATAGTAGACAAGGAAGAGAAGGCAGTGGTGGTGATAGATGTAGCAGTGCCAAGTAACAAGAACATCAGGAAGAAGGAGTATGAGAAGCTGGAGAAGTACCAGGGCCTGAAGGAGGAACTAGAGAGGATGTGGAAGTAAAGGCCAAAGTAGTCCCAGTGGTGGTAGGAGTACTTCAGGCTGTGACTCCTAGGCTGGGAGAATGGCTCCAGCAGATCCCAGGAATGACATCAGAGCTCTGTATCCAGAAGAGTGCAGTGCTAGGAACAGCTAAGATACTGCGCAGAACCCTCAAACTCCCAGGCCTCTGGTAGAAGACCTGAGATTGAGGAAGGCCACCCATAGGGGTGAGAGGGGATTTTTTTTTTTTTAATATATACTTGTTGAATAACTTAGTCAGCAGTCTTCCTTCACAGGAGCTTGGAGAGATAAAAGGAAGATAAATAGGCAATGACAGATGACATATTGTTACTTGCCTCATACTATCTTATAAATTATCCCAATATTTTCCAAAAACAACAAAACCCCCACTACAATATACCTGGAAAGAACTTGGATCTTTTCCAATCCAATCTGAGGTTCAGAAAATGAGCCTTAGCCTCTTCCCCAAGCACCATCCCCTTTCTCTATTTACCTTTCTCAGGTTACCCAAAGTGGTACAAACTACAGTATGTAAGGAAAGGAGCAGTTTGACTCTTCCTCGCACCTCATTGCCCAGTGCAGAACATCAGAGAGGGAGGTGAAAGGACATGCTTCCCTACTGCTCAGTTTCTTTATGCCTCTACTGCTTGTACAGCCCTCAGTGGCTGGTAAATATAGTGAAGGCGGAGAGGCTGTGCTGAAGGAGTCTTCTCTGGCTGTTGGGGACATATGGTGAGGATGGAGTACTTGTGAAGACAGGGGAAGGGAACTGGAATTCTTTAAAACAATTTTTTAATCTAAGTGGAGAATCAATTGGTGCTTTAAAACCTCACATTTCATTTGGGGCAGGATTCACTAGCCCCTATGTTCTGCTTCAATAACATTTCTACATAATTTTACTGGCATTTCTAAAACTGATGAATCATTTGAGGCTCTTTCTTCACAAAATAGCAGTTTTTAAAAAATAATAGCAATTTAGCAAAGGGCTCACTTCAGTTCCTCCAGATGTTAATTTCAGGACAGTCTTAACTTGATGTGTATTAACTTGATGTATTACTATAAATCATTGCCCTTCCATGTTATGCTAAGGTTTTTGGGTTTTTTTTTTTTTTGTCCTTGTGAATAATATTCATTTACCTATAACTATCTTTTGAAATATGTCTGAATGCTTGAATATTTGCTGAATAATAGTGTCCTGTGAAGGACACTTTTATTTTAATTAAAATTACTTTGATATTTATTTGAGGTCTGCATACTCTTTATTTCCTTTTTGCTTCCAGCTAAATTCCAGAATTGGGGTATTTCTTCTAATGTTTTGTAACTTAGGCAAAATCTTTTTGTTGATTTTTACTCAGATTTTTAAAAAATAACACCAGTAACTTACTGCATAAGTAGAAATGTTCCCCCTCCCCTCAGCCCAGAATGTTGGGAATATAAATATAAGTAAAAAGAGAGTCAGGACTTTGAGGCACTGTCACTGAATGTCAAATAATAGCATATAATGCTAATATTGTAAGTTCCCTTCAGCACTGCTGGCAGGAACTTTTCATGGGACTCCTTATTTACAGAGACTTTGCCCTGGTGGATCCAGGGAAGTAGAAACTCTTGCCCATGTCTTCATATGGTGTCCTTTTTATGATGCCCCAAGACATTCTTTGATCTCCCCAATCATCTCTACATTTGAGGGTCATACTGATAAATTTGATGTTTATTACTTTTTAAAGGAAGCTAACTCTACATTCACATATCAAGTGGCCAAATATCTTTATCAAGTCATACAATTGTGAAAAACTTTTAATTAGATATGTTGTTTTATTGTTTTCTTCTTTTCTCTGATAACAAGATTGTACCAAAGTATCGATCTTTTTCTGCTATAAAGGCTGGTCAAAGACCGTAATAAAGATATTTGATTTGATCTAATATTGCAAGCAATATTAATAAACTCAATATGTCTAATATTGCTCTGCAATTTTATGTCTCTGCACAATGTAATACTGTAAGATATAAATTTTAAGTTACTTAATTCTGTTTTTAACAGTAAAGGGAAACTGACCTAACTCAGTGATGTGGAATTTCCTTTATTTCTTTCTTGGAATAATAAGTTAATTAGGCAATAAAATAAATATTAATAAGAATATGTGCTATGAATAATATGACTGCAACATGACTCAATGAAAGCAGGTGTTATTATTTCATAGCATAATAAAATTATTAATTGTAAGAAAGCCCTATAAATCATTATTCTGGGTTTAGTTAATTGAGTGCCACGAGCAAAATCAGCTCATGGTGTTGGTTAGTTTAATTTACCACAATAAATTTACCACTGTTGTGGACTACCTTTGATCCTGTAGAATATACTGGTATAATGAAAGATACTGGTATTATATGAGATTACATGTTATATATTTGTAACACAATATTTTCATACTTTAATTTGTAACCCTAACATTCTGATTATAGGGCAGGTGAAATATCAAACAAAATGCCAAAATTCTGTGCAAGTAGAAATTGGTAGATTTATCTGAATAAAATGTTCATGGCATGGCACTAAGCATCTGTAATTCCATGTGTTTTCTAGATGATTCAGCTGCAGAGAGTTTTAACGGCAATGAGACTGCAGGACACAGTTCCAGCACGTCAGGGGGAACACATTGCAGGGATGTTGCAGAAGCCAACAGTAATGGTAAAACAACTCTGGAGTTGGATGAACAGCCTCTGAACCTGAGTGACAGCCCCTTTTCTGCTCAGCTTACTTCAGAATACAGGTTAGATGACCCAAACAGTGATGGAAAGAGCAAGTACAAGAACATCCTAGTGTCTGATCTTAAGATGGAGCAAGAGGCAAAAGAAAATGGAAGCAAGGTAAGATGCTTCCATGTTCACAAGGTATTTCTAGAGCAGAGCCTAGTAAAATTTGTTTTTAAAATTTAATATAAAAGTTTTAAGGGTTTACGTTGGCCATTAACAAGTTGTCTTTGTGGGGTTTTGTGTTTCCCTTATTGATCCTTATTTGTATATTAACAAATACAACATTTTCCCAATCATAAACAGTTTTTTAGTTTCTGATTAGGAATATTTAAAGAAAAATGTAGAATTTTCCTGTTGAATGAATCACACACACAGCAGATGCCCTTATTCAGTACAGATGAATATCATTATTATGTCAAATTGACACTAAAGTCCTTCATTGACATTTATTGCATGGATGCAGATACAGAAGCTAAGATTTACTAAAGGCTCTCATCCCTCTGGCTTCTGTTATATCAGCTTGAACAGAATAAAGAGGCCAGGTGTAGATAAGTCAGATCTAGGAAATTTGATAACTATAATAAGAATGCATTTGCCCTTAATGTGTATTATAAAAAGAATGAAGAGATGAACAATCTAATGGGATTTTTCTACTGATACTTTATTGTGCTATTGTTGTCAACTCCAGCTTTTTTTTTAAGGTCAGGTATGTCCATTAGTTATTAAGTTATTCTACAGAACTAAATACTGAAAGGAATGCTCATTATGATCAGGAAAAATAATCACAAACTACTTTGACAAAAACTGGAATGCCATTGAGCTTTGCTTTTGTGTTTGTCAACTAATAATGTGAGAAATTAACTTTTTTTCATATATGATTTAAGAATGGCTTAAATCATTTGGGTTCACTTAAAATAAATAATGGGAAAATGCATTCTAGATTTACTCAAAATCCACATTAAGAAAACAAGAGGAGCAACACTAGATCAAAATCAAAGGCTTTGTTCAGCACTATAAAATTATAATGGCCAACCACTGTACTGAGAAGCATTCTAACACTGCAGGAGATAATTTATAGTTATCATGACTAGCCCTTTGAAAGCACAGTTCTCCATAAATGGGGCTTGTCATTCCTACATCTTGTGCCCAGAAACTCCATAATTTAATTTTGTGCTATATGAGGTACTTCCTTACATGTGTTACCAGAATTGTTAGGTAACTTCAGGTTCTAATAAAAGGAGAAAGAGAGAAAAAAATTCTAACCACTTTTTCTGTATATTATTTAATACATGTCCATGTTACTCATTTTTTTCTACCAAAAATAAATCAGTAAAATCTAAACACAATATTCGTCACAAAGTAGTTCCAGTCTGTTGATAACTTTAGTTTCTGTTTCTGTTATCTTTTCCAAATATATTATATCATTTCTGCAATTTTTAACTAAAATTGAGCTCAATATTCCAAAAATAGTAACAACAAATTTGATTCCTTTCTTAATGATTTCCAATATGGAGTTTGTCTTTTTTCAGTACCTGTGTCAATTTTTTCATCATCCTGTCCACTATAATGCCGCAGTTAGTTATGACATTTCCACCATAGTGTATAAGGCAAGAATTAACCACCCTAAATAATTTTGATGTTGTTGGCAAATATTATACCTCACCTTACCACTAACTCCAGATAATTTATGAACCAATTAAAAACACTACAGTTCCCCAAAGAGCTCCTGGCAACACTATGTTGCATCCTTCCACTGTGAGAACTGACCATCTGTATTTATTTTCCATTTTTATTTGATCTGTTATTAATCCACAAGAGCAACTCTTGTTTTATGTCATGATTCAGGAATTTTTGAGAAGGGTTTCTGTCAAAACCCTTTTGAAAGTACATAATATCTACCAGATCATCAATATCCACATATTTGCTGATATTCTTAAAGGCTTCTAACAGACAAATGTTAATTTTGCATCATGATATGTCTGATAATTTTATCTTTAGTAATGCTTTCCACAATGAATTCAATTTACACAATTTACTGGATTCCTTCCTGGAATTCCTTTTTATACATTGGCATTGGCCATTTCCAGGATTTCTGCCAATCTTAGAAATGTGTTAAAACACTTTTTGTTTGAAATTTAGAACTCTCAAGTGGATATCACTGGAATCCAATGATTCTTTTTCAATTTGTCAGTAAGTCTTCAGTTCACTTCTAATTTTGACTATTTGCATTAGACTAATTTCCGGACAATCTCAGTTCAGGGATAAATTATCTGCCTTACATTTTATACTGTGGAAAAGAAAGAATTCAGACTTACCGGCAATCTCCTTATCCTTCTTTAGTACTCCTTTGACTCTTACGACATCCAACAAAGTAAATATTTCATCAATCTCCTGATTATGATGTATTACTTATTTTTGTCTCAGGGCATTATCAGTGTTTTTAAAAATCATGTTCACCATCTCTTTATAGACCTGTTCGAGAGGTAAAGGCAAACAGGGAACTCATCACACAAGCAGTGGAGAGCAGCCTCTCCTCTCTGGAGTTTATGCTGTGACTTCAGAGAATAGCCAGTCCTCTTTGAACCAGCCTCTTCCAAAGAATGTGGCTCTTGAACAAGGAAACTTTTGTGGTTACAGCTGTATACATAAAGGTTTCGATATGATCTTGAAGCTTGATATAAGGGAAGGGCAGTTTGCTGTGGCTTGTGTGGTGAGTTCTACACTACTTTTATCTCCTAAATGGGACTACTGCATTGATGAATTTGTGCAGGTTTGCTCTTTTGTTTTCCTCATCTGGGGAAGAAACCTTCCTTATTAGGATTCTTAATACAATTCATTATCCATGCAGTTACCTCGTGGATTTGGAAACACTTTGTCTGCCTGGCATTGTTTCTTACTGCATTGTTCAACATCTCTCAAAGTTTTCTGGAGTGATTTGACCCTTTTAACTTTCCCTTTCAGCATCTTTTTTTTTAACGGAGTAATGAACTGCAGCTATACATTCCTGACATGATAGCAACTTGTTTATAACCATATTGTTCCAGTTATCTTTTAATAAACTAAATTCCCCAGAGTTGTTTGAGAGTTGGGCATCCTAGAAATTTATCAGAAAAATAAATTCAGGTAGTCCTCACTTAATAACCACAATAAAATTGGTCATTAAATGGGATGGTCATTTTTATGACCATTTTTACAACAGTCGTTAAGGGAATCACTGCATTGTTAAGCAAATCATGTGACCATTAAGTGAATCCAGCTTCCCCAATGGACATTTTTTGCTAGAATTCACTTAAGAACCATGTGATTCGCTTAACAACCATCATGAAAAAGGTTGCAAATTGTGATCACATGACTGTGGGGGCTGGTGCGACAGTTTGTGACAGTCGTAAGTGTAAGTACAGGTCGTAAAATACTTTTTCCAAGGCCATTGTGACTTCAAACTGTCATTAAATGAACAGTCGTTAAGCGAGGACTACCTGTACATAAATAAACCAGTGAATAGACATATTATATCCTTTTGGCTGAAATACATTTAAACCACTCCCAATACTTTAGCAAAATTAATAAGAAGGAAGGAAAAGTATTAAGAAAGACATGATTGCAATAATAGGCTTTGTTTCTTGAACCACTAGCTCTGCCTTCTTCTGGGGACACCTTCACATTTAATGCCCTTGTTGTTAAGGCAACTACATGCATGATTTCATCTGTTCTGTCAGGATGGCAATTATACCAACTATTGGAGACTTTGGCTCCCCCTGTTCTGTATGGCCTACGTGCTCTTACAGATATATAATTACACTGTGAAATATGGGAGGAGAGTCTACATTTCTTTGATTTGGAAATACTTTCCTGCCTGGCAGCATATCATAGTATTGGAGCTCTTTCCAAAGATCTGGGGTGATTTGACCGCAGTCTCTTTCTCCCCATATTATTCTTTTGACAACAATAAGTGGCTTGCCATTATCTTTTTCCAGGATGTTTCAACTTCCCTACAACCTGGGATTATGGTCTGAGCTTTAAAAAGAATATTAATGCCATTGATATTAAGTAAATAAGGTTAAGTCTTCTTCAGCTCTGGATTGACTTCTGGTGACTTCATGGACACACCCATGTAGTTTTCTTGGAAGCAATGTAGAAATGGTTTGCCACTGCCATCTTCTAGGATGCTTTTTGATTTTCCTATCTAGCCCACAGCTTTGGTAATTTCTGGAAAGTTCCTGTCTCTTCAAAGTACTAACCAGGCTTGACCCTGCTTCCTTCCAATTCCAGACCAACTCAACCAGGTTCTTCTATCTGCTCAGACATTAAGTAAATCATGCTTCTCTCTTTTTCCTCCTTGATCAGTTACAATTCCCTGATCTAATCTTCATAAACTGTCCTTTCTCTTTTCTTTTGTTTGGAGTGCAGCTACTCTTCAGCTTCTACTTTTTTCTCTTCTTTTTGCTGCTTCTGCTGGAAGGAAAGAGGGGGATCTGTGTGTGTACATATATCTTTCTGTGTATGAAAGTAGCTTATGTGTGAAAGATCATGGCTAGTATATGTAGATGGAAATCCATACATTTTGCAAATGGGGTATCTTCGTTTACAGGTAATAAAAATTATTACCTAATGTAATTTCAATCCAATTAATATAAATCTATGCTTTTTCCTTGCCCCCCCCTTTTGGAGTGTGGTTTCTGATAGGAATGTATACAAGTGTGTCACATGCACATAACAACTGGGGAGGGAATCTCCAGGATTGGTTTCAGCAATCCTAGACCGAAGGATAGTAAAGCTGGGTTCTGCACAGGATTTTTGTCTGTTGATAATTCTGCTGACTCTACCATTTGGGGTCATCTTAAATTCAGTGTCATATTCCTTTTGTATAAATATAGTATAGTTGGTGTTTCTAATTCCTGTGATTCAGAGCCAGCAATTTCAATTCCAGAAGTTATAAGCTAATATACTAGAAGACACCAGGTTAGAGAAGGCTGATCTGGTTCTATATATTTAAGATTTTCTTCTGAGATGTTAGTAGGTATCCTTTGTATCAAAGATAAAATGTGTAAATATAAGAAGGTTTTTTTCCAGCTTTGACAACTCAATTATGGTATGTTCTCCTTAAGGAGGTCTATCAGGGGCCTGTAATATAATCTTTTTAGCACTGGATAAGAAAGTTTAGTCCCCCATCTTACTTTTCCCAGATATTTCAATCCACTTTTGCTTTGAGGTTTCTTCTAGAACTTTATCATTTAATTATTGATATTTTACAATTCTATTGTGATACAATTTTAAATCATACATTACCCTGAAACCCAATAGTATGAAAGATAGTTTAAATAATAAATTAAAGAAATTATCAAATTATAAATAATAATAATAACAATAATAATAATAATGTAGATGCACTCAAAAGTCTGTCTAAAGAAAAAAATGGGGAAGAGGCCAATATTTTGTTAAAAGGAGGGTCCTGCAGGTTTTTGCAAGTCAGGAAACTGCAGAAAGTGAAATAGGATTGGATAATGCATCCTTATAGGCAGAATGGTGAGAGGACTGGAATCTATATGTACTGTAACATATAATTCCTAGCACGGGTATCTCATTTTTAGCTACTATAGCCAATGTCACTGTCAAAGCTACTTATAAATTTGCCATTACCTACAATATTCCCACAATAAATAGTTTAAAAATTACTATATATTGGGGCAGGGGAGGGGAGGAGAACACTTTGTTTTCCTTTGAGCTTGCTAGGGCCAGCTGCTTCATTTGCTGATTTTGAATTTTATTACACTAAAATACAAAGAATAATTTCTTTCTATTTATTCACCCATGTCTGTATCATCTTTAATATGCACAATATCATTACATCAGCTCCAACTCCTGAAACATATTTTTATTCAGATGAAATGGATAGGCCAAATCACTTCAAGAACCTTTGTTATGATATGAACTTGTTTACCAGATAAGATCAATATCAGGGGCTCTGTTTCCAGTGCTACCCTTATCAGAGATCAGACGGGTAGGATGGCAAGGCAAAGTTTTTTCAGTGGTCATGCAAAATTAGGATATGTTTTCCATAGAGTTTTATTTATGTTTTAGGACATTCCTTGAAGTATCCTTCTTAATCTAGTATTTTCCAGACATGTTGCACTACAGTGTTTCACCAACCAGCAGTTGCTGTTCCAGTCAGGGAACCATTTTAGCTGCACTTTTCAGTATCTTTTTAAGCTGTACGGTATCATTTATTTTAATTTGGAATAAGCCAATAAGGCATGGTATTCTGAATGTGGATGCAACATTCATTTCTGTAAAAGTATAGTCATGTATTTGCTGTTTTATTTTTATCTCACTCCTTATATTTCATAACTGCACATTTGCTCACTATGAAAACACAGTGAGCTGACACTTATGAAGAAGTGCCTTTTATGTTCAGTTCTATCGATGAATAGAAATCCCATCATTTTCTACAGGATTCCTCCCTTTCCCTAATCATTAGAAAAAGATTCAGATTCAAAGTTAGGTACAAGCAGTTGAATATTGGAATATAATGCATTATTTTGTACTTTATTTGAAATCTGAATATCTTTTATGTATTACCTCAATTTGTAAGGATAAAAAGGAATATACTATAGCTTTCTACCCATTTTTATCCCAAACTTATTTAAATTTATAAAAATGTATAAACATGGATGTTTTTCCTTATAGATATTCTTCTGTTCTCAAGTTTTGAACTGTTGGTATGAATTCCAATATCTTTTATTAGTCAGTATGAATATCATGTTATATATTACAGTATGTAACAATGAATTACAGTTGGCTCCATAGCAAAGTACAATCTGTAAGGATATATTTTTAAAAATTCTTACTTAGGAAAAATCAGACAATGTATGTAATTCCCTGAGTCAAAATATGGAGAACGCTCCTCTGACAAGGCTTCCCCAAGGCATGTTACTGCCTGAAGCAAGCAGAAGAGGGTAGTCTGTATTACATTTAAAGAAACAGATTACAGTACAAGTTCTTTATTAGTTATTTAACACTGGTGATAGGATAATGTCTTCCACCACTCTGAGGAAAAATAGCTAATGTAGGGAGTGCAGGTCAGACTGGATAGTATACATAAGTTTATCCTTCCAAACATCCCACTTCTTGTTCATGACCCTAAGGAAGTGAAGCAGCCACTTTCAGTTCCTAACAGTACAGCTGTGTGAATTGCAGGCTCTCCCTCCCATCTCTTTTTTCTTGGACTAGGAGAAATAATCTCCTATACATTGCTAATTGGCTGTATATTATCCTGTTTATTAAATAATTTATCCAGTCTCCACACATGTGTTGGAAATGAGACAACTTTATTAGTCTCATTTCCAACATATGTGTGGAGACTGGATGAATTATCAAAATCAATAGACCACACAAAAACAATACTTCTGTTTACTAATCCTAGACAAATTGAAATAAATAAACAAACAAACAAAAACAAGCAAGCAAGCAATTTAAAACCTTCCTTGTTCCCTATATCTACACATTAGGGGTATGGACACATTAGGTAACTCTCTTCAAGAATTGAATCTAACGTTCTAGAAGTAGTCCATCCCACCTCAGGTCAGTGTTGGGTAATCTGTCCTGATGTATTTATTTATTTATTTATTTGTCACATTTATATAGTTGCCCATCACACACAAAGCAATTCTCCTCCTCCTCCTCCTCCTCCTCCTCCTCCTCCTCCTCCTCCTCCTCCTTTCCTGCCTTTTTTATATTTTGGTCAACTCAAAGCAGCATACATACTTACTACTCCTGCCTCCTCTTTTCCCCACAACAACAACCCTGTGAGGTAGGTTGGGCTGAGAGACAGTGACTGTACATAGTCACCCAGCTGGCTTTCATGCCTAAGGCAGGCCTAGAACTCACAATCTCCTGGTTCCAAGGCCAGCACCTTCACGACTATACCACTGGCTTATTCAGAAAGTGATTCAGAAAAGTCACCTTCAGGGGTATGTGTATGTTTTCTCTCTATCCTTTAACAGAGAAAGTACTAAAAATCCAGTCACTGTAGTGCAACCATGGCTCCTTTTATCTCTTCCCTCAAGACAGCCACTGCCAAAATTTCTATAGAATTCTACACATGGACACATCCCAGGTCTACAGAATCAACCTCCAGCGCAGGACTAAAAAGGATCTACTCTGTGGGTAGGAGACAACAATCCTGATGTCTCCCATGACAAACCACAGTCATTCTGGGTCTGGCATGACCCTTCATGGCTATTAATACTGCATTTTTGTTTCTTGTCTTTTAACTGTAGGAACAATTTATTCAATTCACTTCCACTGCACCCCCAAAGCTCTGATGATCTTTTATGCTTGATCTCTACTGGAAAGCAGTTTCTGACCCAGTCACCAATAGAAGAGAATATATGTCAGTTACTGATAGGCTCAATCCTCAGACGTGTCTACAGCAGTGCGGGTCAAGCAGAGGCAAATGAGTAAAACATCATGCTGCTGTAATACAAGTTCCATCCCTTTCTACATGAGTTGTGATATCACATACATGTACAAAATAGGCTGAGCTTATAGCACAATGCTGTTTTTATTTTTGATCAAAGTGTCATATCCTGTGGATGCTTTTACCTATCTCCATGATCTCACCACCTTCCAAGAGGCTGCAATTGGAGGGACTGTTAGCAGTCTGCTGTCAATCTCAGTCATTCAATACTCCTTTTCCCTTGGTTTTCCATCATGTTGTTTTATGCAAGCAAAGCAGAAGTCTCTATTCTGAGGCTCCAGGGCCACAAATGACCCCCAAAGTCTTGGGCCTGGCTCGCGAAGATCTCTAAAAATAGTTATCAAATTGCAATATTTAATGAGGCAGAAGAAGGAAATTGTTGAAAACATAACTAAAGAATAATACTTTATATATTTAATGTTAATGAAATGAAATCACATTATGTTTTGTCTTGGCACTGTCAACTTTCTTTCAGATTATGTTCTCTGGACTAAAAGTGCCTCTCACTTTGATGCAACTGCAATGGAACCCTTATTTATAGCATTTATAGCATAGCAGAAAGAAAAACCAGGGCTAGAGCTTCATGGAGGTTTTTCACCTGGGGAGGCAGGTCAGAGCAATTGCCCTGCCTCTGGTATGTAAAGCAGAGCAGCCCTTTTTAGTAAAGCATTCTTAATCATACTGACCTGCAATACAGATCCATTATAGCAGGGATGGGCAATTATGGGGTGCATACATTCTCCTGAATCCCCTGGACTGGGGAGGATAAACTTTTCAGCTTCTTGGGGAGTATTGGGGAAGGGTTTAAAGAGGTGAAATGAGTATCTTAGGCCTTAATATTGTTTTGCCTTTAGGATACATGAATTTTTCCACCACTTTCTTTCTCTCTTTTCTATCTCCTTAAGAAAAGAATGTGTTTCTTTTATATAACATTGCAACCACCCAGAAAATGGAGAGAACTATAATCCTAAACTCTATGGTTATCTAGTGGAAATTCCATGTATAAGAAAGACAGTTTTTGTATTGTACAGGAAAACAAAGGGGAAGGTAACTGGAAATGGAAAGCTGCTTCTTACATTATACTTTTTAAATTTCTATACCTAAATTGGAATACAGACATACCGTGTAGGTTATGCGGGGAACAGACATGTATAAATTGCATATATTTTTGAGGTAAGACTAGCAATCTGTAGTAAGAATCAGTGATTATAAGGACAGAAGCATTCTGAGTTACTCAAGGTAGTGAGTAATTTGCTTCAGGCTGGATTAGCTTCAGTGGTGGAACTGGAGCATTCTATTAATTCTTATATGTCCAGTTCAGCTTTATGTCCACTAAAGTCACTTGGCTTGTTCATGTCTTCTAAAGTTAATGTAATGACTAATTTATACATTTGTAAATGTATAACGCTTGTTAAATTGTGTGTGTATTAATTGACTTGATTAAGAAAAATATATCTGTAATTTTATTCCTCTTTCTCCTCCTTCTACTCTGAAGTAAGGCAGATACCTTCCTCGAGCAGCTTTCTTAAAATGACATTTCTTTCATCCTAGTCACCTGCCCATAGTTATTCAAGCTATGATTCTGGCAAGAATGAAAACATGGATAGAGGTGCTGAAGACCTCTCCCTGAACCGGGGAGAAGAAGATGAGGATGACCATGATGACCATGAAGATGCTGAGAAAGTTAATGAATCTGATGGAGTAGAAGCTGAGCGCCTGAAAGCTTTTAATGTGAGTTATATGATTCTTATGTCCTTTGGAATTTTATTTAGTTATTTATTTATTACTTGGGGCATATGTTTATGGGTTAATGTGAGAATTAAAGAGGTGTATTTTTTTAAAAAAATTATGCAAGGGAATCTCTCCCCTTCTCACTGACCATACATAAAGGCTGCAATCCTATACCCACTTGCCTGGGAGTAAGCCCCACTGAACTCAATGGAACTTACTTCTGAATAGACATGTATAGGATTGTACTGTAAAACATTTTCAAAGAGATACCAGGTTCATCTAATTTAGCTATTTAATACTCATCTATAGGAGAAATTTCAGCTGTGTATTGTGCACGTGTATGTATGTGTGTGTATGTTTGTCCAGCAAATGGAGGCAGTGGGGAGGGGGCCTGCAGGTTGTTTATTCCACTGGTCAGCTATTTTGTATTATTTTTCAAATTTTATATAATTTTGCATGACAATACACACACCATAAAATGTTCACAACAGGGGAAGAATAAGAGATAAGGGTTCTGCAGAACATTAAAGCAGTCATAGCACATTGTTAATAAGAGACATGAAATGGTGCTTATTTTTACAATCTGTGTTTTATTTTCCTCATGATTTCTATACACTATAATCTAATCTTTTCTTGTCTTTTGTCAGTCCTAAAATAAAATCCTTGGTTGCTTAACATTTCTGGCTTTCCATCACAAAGCTCTTCACTGTGTGTGTTTTTTTTTTTTAATTAAAGAAAAAAGCAGTCTTCCTATCTGTAACTGAGACAGGAAGCTTAGAAAGCAAGTAGCCCTCCAAATCCTTCTCCTCTGTCTCCCTCTTGCCAACAGATGTTTGTCAGGCTGTTTGTAGATGAAAACTTGGACCGAATGGTCCCAATCTCTAAGCAGCCCAAAGAAAAGATCCAGGCTATCATTGACTCATGCAGGCGACAATTCCCTGAGTACCAAGAGCGTGCCAGAAAGCGTATACGTACTTACCTCAAGTCCTGCAGGCGGATGAAAAGGAGTGGTTTTGAGATGGTGAGTTTTGATTTAAAACCCAGCCCTAGTTTTCATCAAAACCCCCATATGTAAATCCATGACACTATTTTGTTTTCATCTTAGTGTCTCTTTTTATTTGTATTTTTGGTACTGTCAGGTCAGAGGTTATTCTCCTCCTTTCATATTACCTGGAATCCCTTCTCCTTTGTACAGTGCATTTGAAATGCTTTGCCAGATAAAGCACACATTTATGTCTAATATAAATTTATCAAAACTGATGAGCACCACAAGATATAAACGAACAAACACATAGAAAGAAGTTTCCTTCATATTTTCAGTATTCTAACATGTATATGACAGAATGCGTAGGTAACATGTTTCTTAAATGAGTTAACATACTTGCAATTTGGAATGCATATACATGCCCGTGCCTAATTACTTTTTAAGGCTGTGCCTGCTTCAAAAATGATTTGGAAGAAGTGTTTGGACCTTGTGTGAGCTCAGTAATTCTCATTAAAGCGAACACATTTTTTAGGGCTTTTGTGTGAGCCAGAAAAAAGATGCTGCTGGTTTAATAAATCAAATCATTAAAGCACCATGTTTTTAATGTGACTGAAGCCTGCAAAACAGACACGTATGCTTTATTAAGTAGTACAGAACTGTTGTGCAAAATCTAAATCATTTTTGAAGCATGCACAACCCTTTAAGGCTTTGTTGTGATTTTTAGCATTTAGGTAAAGCATATTTTAAAGCATAGTTATGAATTTATTTATGAGTTAAATAAAATGGAGAGCCTTTTTCAGTCTTTCAGATTTCTTGGAGAAAGAGATATATAAAACATAAATGAATGTTGGATAGTGGCTGTAAATGAACCATGTTTTCATTTAAGTGTCGGACTGGAAATCAAATACCAAAACACATCTTATCTGACTGTAGAAGAAAAAGAAGAGTCCTGACGCAAATTATTATTACTGTTAACATCTCTGTAAAAAGACCAAAAATTCAAACCCCAAACCCTTCCCTTTCCTTCATATTTTCCAGATATCATTTTTAAAAATTTCATGTTTAATTTTAAGAAATACATCAAAAGTCCTTTCTCCCCTTCCCCTTCCCCTTCCCCTTCCCCTTCCCCTTCCCCTTCCCCTTCCTTCCTTCCTT